TAAATCTACAGTCACGACTCCAAAGCAATCCCCTTATAGCTTCTTGTTAGACCATCTTACTAATCTCTTCTATTCGTCTCTCCAATGAAATGAAAGGTACTCCAACATTGATGCTAAGGTCTGAAACAAATTTTTATTAATGTGTCTTAGATAGTCTTTGCTGATTAAATTGATCTTCAAATACTTCCCGTAGAGAAAACATCGAAATAACAATATGCCAAACTAGAAGAAAATATAATTTTAAGTATAAAATAGGAAGAAGAATACTGTAACCAAGTTCCATTTGATTAGATGCGTTTGAGAGTTTGAAAACCACCGTAGTATTAAGATTTTAGATACGGATTGACAATACGAATATAAATTCTGAGCGACTTCAGTGTCCAAGTTGTCAACAGGAGATAAGAATAAAATAACTATAAAGAATTCAGAGACGAGAAGTATGCTAGCCAAGAGGAAATACTGTCAGAATTTTGTCACCTTAAGCAAACATCAAATCGGAATTTTAATGAATGGAATTAAGAGTAGTCTATACAAATAATCAATGTATTTTTCAGAAAAATACACCATTATTTAGAAATATTTTCAGTTTGTATTTAGAAACTAGCCAGAATTAGGGAATAAACGTTATTCCTAAAAGGTTGCCAGATGGTTACAGTGGCCGGCTCAGGACAAAGAAAATAGCACATTAAATTTGTTGGTCGGATAAAGGAGCTCTTTCTATGGGAATATAAATATTAAGTGGGCTAAACCATTTCAAAATTAGTTGGTCTATAGAAGGTAGTTAAGTAAAAATAGCGACCTACGCGATAAGAAAGATATGATCAAGTGTGAATAAACAGTAAACTGAATTTTTTACAGTTATCGGTTTCTCGGTGATCGAAGCATGCAGCAGGGACTAAATTGAGCCACAAATGTTTTGGTTCCATCCAAAGATATCATTTAAAATAGAATCAAAATAAATCAAATGAAGCAGGCTAACTCTCAAATTTTGCTGAAAAATAAGGGCTTTTGTACTGAAATGAGTATAGATTGGGATGTGTGAATTATCAGGGGACAGCAGATCGTGCAGGAGGTAGACGTGGGGAGATCAAGAGTGAAATAGAAAGGTGAGGAGAGTTAAGCAAAGGTTACGATTAAAGTTGACAAGAGTGAAGAAAAAAATCATCCACCAATAGAGGATTGGATACAACATTCAAAACAAAAATACGACTGTTGAGAGACCATGTCTCCATTGGACTATAGGCTACCAGGTAAAATGAGCTTTCGCATTGGCAGGACGACGGAAGAGCATCTGCCGCGAACATCCGTGCGTGAGAGATCAGCGACCCCAGGGGTCAAGGAGAAGGCGCGGTCTCTCGAAAAGGTCACACGAAGGTCAAGTAAATCTGCTGACAGGCAATAGAGATTATGACAATAATGTATGAAATGAAGATGAATTTATGAGAGGTAAATAGAAGTAGAAGCAGGGCACGCACACGAGAGAACGATAAAAAGGAAGCCCACAAATGCAGGCATACAAAAGGACAGAAAAGAAATGAAAGAAATGCATTAGTAAGAATAGACTGATATTTTCAAATGAGAAGGGGAAAAGAAAGACTGAGGGCTTAGGAATTGATTTAACTAAGGATGCCGAAAAAAGGCATATTTAAGACCGTCTAATATCTGAAAAGATTGCGGATTTATACGCTCAAAAATTTAAAATATTCTATCAAGGAAAGTTGAAGTGTTTGCTCTAATGCGAAATGACAACTACAATACATGTAATATTTTCAGATAAGAGAGATAAGCACATTGAAAATATGATGTTTATAATAAATAATAAAAATGCATTAACTGCAAATAATTAAGATCAATATACAACTATGGATTTTTTTAAAGGCTCTGTTCTATGTGTCTAAAAGTAGACTATAAACGCTTTTTTAAAGTAAACTAGAATAAACAAAGTAAGTGAATGCTGAAATAGTAGATACCTAATAAAGGACGGCATCTAAGCCAAACAAAATGAGTCATAAGATTGTGATAGCAATGATGACAGTGAGTTTTGCGTGAATATAGTTATAATAAAGAAATAGATTTCAAAGTTTCATACTTATAACAAAGGTATAATGAATTACAAAACGTAAATGGATCATCATATATAGAAACTTCATCTGCTGATGATGCTAAATAAAAAACGTAGAAACACTTAAATAGACTTGGGAGTCTTCATAAGCAATTTAAATAATCAATTTACCTATTATAAAGTTCGCATATGGTTTAGCATGAAGGTTAGTTCTTGAAAAACTAATAGAAATACATTTTGGACCAAATTTGTCCCCAATATGAAATAGACTCGCAATTTAAAAAGAATAAAATCAGCTTGTCAGATACTATTGGCAACAAAATACTCCTTCCGAAAGATTTTGATTAGGATATGCTTGAAGTTATTCATGATTAAACGTTGCAGCAATTGTAGAAAAATATGGACTAGAAAACGTTGGTAAAAATAAAAATTAAATTTAGTAAATTGTGAGATAATGGATTTTGTTATATGCTTTAGCTAAGTGAATTCAGGAAATCTGGAGTACAATACGAATCAGCAAATTATCAACATATGAGTGTATTCACTCTATCTCGTTTAAGGTGATGAAGGACTGGTCTAATTATTCATGTTTCTAAAAGAGAGAATCAACGAAGGGCCAAAAGGTAGTGATAGAGCCTATCTCTAACTGGGAATTAAAAACGGAGAAACGTTGAAAATACACAAAAGGGACCCAAACATCTATTGTTGACAGAGACAGACTCACTTGCACCATTGGACTGAGCATTGTTCCCATTCAAGAATGGCTTCATCGGGCGAGAGTAAAATTCATTGGGCTTGTTACCAATCATGTCATTAGACGCTTGTTGGACGTAGTGGCTGACCGGAACAAGCAGGCACGATTGGTTGACGGACCAACCTTCAGTCAGGCCATAGAGTATGCAGCGAACACGGAGTGGATTGTTAAGGGAACTCTTTACTGTAAAATAAGTTAAAATAAGAGATGGTAAAGACAGAAGAAGGAAAACCACGAAAGTTTTGTTTGTTTTATGATAAGGGCTTTGATGAAACCTTTGCCATTCATAAAATGAATGGCTGGAAAAAAAGGAATTGCAGTTAAGAATTTGTAAAATAGATACCATCCAAATACTCTGGCAGGATAAGAACAAGGATATAAATTGAGAAAAGTAAATTTCTTCAAAACCCAAACTTATATTTTCGTCCATTTTGGTAAGTACGATGAAATAAAATGGATAAATGAGCAACAAAAATAAACCGTATGAAATATGGATATGTGATGCAGTTCATATCTATCAATCTTTTTTTGGTATTTCCACATCTTACAAATTCTAGAGAGAAAAAGAAAAGGATGAAAGAAAAATGATTAAATTAAAAAAACTTGATGTAAGACCCTAAAGGATAGGATCAACTCAAGGCTATGTACTTTAAAAATGTATAGCTTCGTTCTAGTAACAGTAGTCTCGATTTAAACGAGATGATAATACTCAATATCTTAAATCTTGTTAAATTTGGCTGCTGTGGTCTCCTTCCATGAGTACTTATAGTAGAATCTAGTTGGAACCTTGGTCGTTTGCGACAACAAAACTAATTCTGTAGACGGGTAGACGCAATACAATGTGTTCTTTGTCAGGTTGTTCAAATGATATGTTCGCTTTGAAAGTAAATATATGAAAAATGAACATTTATCCCAAATGTTTTGATAAAGAATTCAGACAAGCCAAATTTGTATATAAAAATTACAGTGAAAACATACCGCGAATAAGTGAGATTAAATTGAAAAAGGTCTTAATAAATCAGATCCTACTGTGACCATACAAGATGCCACAACAGCTTGGTCTTCATATCTTCAGACAATATATATTTATGAAAAATATTTCTAATTCTATAATCTATAATTCTAACTAAACCTAATAACGATGCAGTGGCTTATTTAAGGAAACCATTTAAATGTGAAGTTCTATATAAAGAGACAGTAAAGCTAAGAAGTCGGAAACTCACGATTGTAGTTGTTAGAATTGAGATATGGTCCAGTGATCATAAAAGGAAATCTGCTTCCATTATTTGGCAAACAGGTAACTTGGCTTACAGATACCAAGTGGAGATAGTATTGTGGACTTTCTATCCGTTTGTTAAAAAAATGAATACTGAAGGTAGATACGGTACCCCTTGGAAATTTAAGTGATTCAGCTTAGTGATGAGATTACTCTCGCATATTTGACTTATGATAATTTTGATCTTATTTGAGTGGTAATTCGCAAATAGGTATAATACAAAAAGTATATCACGTTTTTATTTAGCATTTATATGCAAACCTGCTTGCTAAAATAAAGAGAAGCTATTACTAACATGATAATTGCTCAGTAAATTTTTGGCTGCGCTTCTAATTATTGCCAGTCAGAAAATAGCTTTTGAACAGGAAGAGCTTATCACAGTGAAAGCGAGTAAGAATGGAGTTTAAAAATTCGTTTCACTAAGCAATATAATCTATCAAGCTGGGATCAAATGGACTCCATAAGAGGCGATAATATTTAATTGATAAGAGTAAAAAAAATAACTCATTTCTCCGGCTGGAATCATTTCATTGCTCTTCATCAGAAGGAAGTAAATGAAACCCGGTTGCAGATTTTAGCGATTAAGAACCATTCAAGAATATCGAAAAGTTTACCTTAAAATTAAGACATTTTAGGCGGAAATATCACAAGTTTAATTATGCTTTCAGAAGCAATCGTCAGGTTGATTAGATGAAGGAACTTCTTTTCTAAATCAGGGGCTTACTAATTGGAGCTTGTATACCTGGACTGAACAAAGACTATGATAGAATAGTTAAAGGTTTAAATATACATATTCAGTGCAAGAACAGGAGAGCAGTAGACATATCTAAAAAGATAAAAATTTCACTAAGTTGAAGCGCTTACCAAGTAGATTATATATACTTATGGCACTCATTCGAACCACCTGAGTGCGATGCGCGAGATATGCTTCGAAAACCTTGTGATATGAGTCCCAGTTTCTGAAGCAAACGTTTTCGGGACCTAGGTACTAGATGGTGATACAAGAAAGAAGGATGCAATAACATTTATGTCTCATTGGCGATAATACTATTGCTCTAATTAGCCATTTAACAATGATTGGAAATTATATGTTTGACTGAAAAATAATAAAAAAACAAAATAAAGATTACCTAAGGTGTCGCGTTGATACCGAGTAATGCTTCATACTCCGATATTATTCGCTTAATTGAATAGTTAGTAAGAAAGAATATCGTGAGCAATATGGAAGACAATAGACGTTGTAGAGTTTTATTTAGTGAGGAGCAGGAGATCGGCTTCGCGAAGCCTGAGAATATAAGCATTTCTGTACATTTAACTAATACAGTACAAGAAATAATAGCGAGATAAAAAGATCGAATTAAAATTGACATTAGATTTAATTAAGACCGAAATACTAAAAAATCTGAGTTTTTATCGAAATCGTCTTTTGTCACAAAGGAAAAAATTTTCATATTATTATAAGGAATTCATAAAAAATAATAGAATTTAATACACGACATTCGGATAGTAAAAAATTATAAGTCTGTCTACGCATGATTTATTAGTTAATTTCATTGTCGAATTTTGATAAAGTTTAGCAAGAACCAAATTATATTTTGAAAAGTCTAGTTAAATGAGAGGTCTTGGGTACTTTAATAGTAAAAATATATGTAGGCAAAGGAAGATGTAATTAACTCTAACCGGCACCGATAAAAGCATCTGTAAGAGATCGAACTTGAAAGTAAGAAAAATAAAATGACGAATAAAGTTCATATTAAGATATTTGAAATGAATGACAAATAAAAGAATATTTTAAAACTAAATGAAGAAACCTTGTAAGTTAAAAAGAAGTTTGCTTATAATATAACCAAAGAATTATTCTTTAATCGATTAACAGTATCAAGAAAATCGTAGATATGAAGACCAAGATGATGTGACCTTCTGTTTGGTCGCAGTCTCCTTTGGCTTATACCGTTGGTTCGACCTTGATTTCGCAGTTTGGTCAGAGCGTCAGGGAGACCTTGTGGAACGTATCTAGTCCCGTGTCCTCTGCCATAGTACTTGTGATTTCCACCATTTAATCATTGGCTGGGTTAATTTCTAAACGTTTAGCCAGAATCATCAATGAGAGGCGCCAGCGTAAGCACAGAGGTACAACATATCAAAGAGTAATTAAGTGGATGGGCCATATGAATTAGGATCGAGAGAAAGAGATGCGGTGCTCTAAAGTAGTACAAAAAATAGGGGCGAGGAGTGATGCCAGAACGGTTGAACAGAAAATTGGTCAAGTGAATTGTCTTCACTTGTCATTTTGCTAGATTGTAACTATGTGCTTACGATGGCGCCTTTAACTGACGATGCAGGCGAAACGTTTGGGAATATACCTAGTCAATGACTCAATGCTGGAAATCACGAATACTATTGCAGAGGACACAGGACTATGTACGTTTCACAAGATCTCCCTGACGCTCCGACCAAGTTATGAAAACAAGGTCGAACCAACAGAATATCAAGAAAAGCTACTACAAAAAATTCAAATAAAATATCTCTAATAGTGGTAAATACAAGCTAGACTAACTTTAGGCTAAGTAGAAATCCCTAATATGAGGTTGTAGTGACCTATCCGTACACTTTCCCATTC